GGCCCTGATGATCTTCAAGGTCTTCTCTAACCACTACTATTCTATTCTACGAGCTCCAAGTGAAGGGCCTCCCTCTAACAGCAGGGCTGCATGTATGAGAGAATGCCAGCGTGAGTAAGGCGAGATGAAGAGGGTGGCCAGCAAAAAAGCCAAGGGGGCACCTCTGGCTCAGGACAGCCTCCCCACATAGGGCTGGATGGTGACCTGCAGCAAAGCAGCTTCTCACTGATGATCTGGGATTTGTTCACCTCCTAGAGTTACCAGGAGAACACAGCCATTGGGAAAACCAGCCAGGGAAGGTGCATCAAGGCCAAGACCAAAAGCAGGGACCAAGAGAGACCCCTTCTCCAAACCTCCGACTGCCCAAACCTACCTGACTCTTCTTGCTCAGCAACGACCAGCCGTTAGTGTCGAACTCTTTCCTTTTTTTGTCAAGACTTTCCTGTTTTAAGTATTGCCTGTAGGAATAAGAGAACAAAGAAAGCTTGCTTAGAGGAACGGAGGAAACCAGCCAGTGCACTATATGTCAGTTTACCTAAGATGTCCTCTGCCATGTTTGCAGAATTAATGCAAAATGGAAGTTCAATATTTTCGTCTCGGTATTGGTCATTTTCAAAAGGGCTCTATAGACCCAGCCTTTGAGGCAGGCAAAAGAAGGACCAAGTAGAACTTACAAACTCATCCAAAAAAAGTACCTGCCAAGCAGAGAGTCAAAACCACAAATAAACCAGCGAGAACACATCTAATTCATCAGAGAATGACTCACGGTAGAGAAAACTCAGCAGCCATGGAGCTGCTTCAACAGGCTCCTGCAAGCCGAGTGTTAATACTCAAGAGGAGACTGGAAAGCTGAGCTCCATCTCTGATGGTGTCCTGTGAATTGGTGCCTCTTGTTGTCTGAGGATCTTACTTAGCATGAAGGTAGACAGGAGGAAATCTGTCACAACTTTAACAGCATCCCAGCAGCTCTGGGACAATCATCCTGTGTGTAAAGCATACAAAAAAACCACCATGAAGCTCATCTCCAGGTTGGTGGTGGGTTCAGCTTGCTGGCAGATGTTCTCCTGGAACTCTTCTCCCACGTTTCCCTTCCATTCCTGGTTTGATTCCTTTTTACCACAGTAGAAAGAGATGACAAGTGCTTTCAAGGAGAGTCAAACTAGGGAAGATGACCCTGATTTTCTCAAATAAACTTCAAGGCTTGGGGACGGAGGGGGACGCAGCCCTGGGAAAAGCCACAACACAGTCTTTCCAAGATATTTTTACAGGGGTTGAGTCAAGTGGGGAGCACAAGTGGGAGAAGGAGCCAGCCACAGCAGGGGTGGGATGTCAAATACCTTTCATAAGATTTCAGCAGGAGAAGAGCTGTAGAGCCAGTCTCATTCCAGTTCCTAGAACCAGAGAATGAGGAAAACTTGGAGGTACTGACCCATCTCCTCTTCCCAAAGAGGCTTCCACCAGTTTGGCCTAAATTAAACCACTGGAAGAAGAGTGAAGTGTTGGGTTTTTTTCTTTTCCTGCCTCCTCGAAAGAGTTTAGAAACTCTACCAAGACCTTGCCCAAAGCACACCCAAGCACCTGCCACACATTTTCCTTTGCAGATATGAACACCCTGAACCATTCCCTTCACTAGGAAGTACAGAAAGGGGAGCTCGGGAAGGACACAGACATAAAGGTGGACGAGAGGGAGCCCAAGTGACAGGCCCAAGACATTCTTAAGGTCCCTAAAGAAGCCCCTCTCTGTGGGCTGCCAGCACCATTAAGTGACATTCAGCTTTGCAGACACCCTCTGTTCATCTTAGTCACCAAAAGGACAGGGAAGATCTACATCTTCACATTTGGCATCTTCTCCCAACAGCCTGAGGAGCCTTCTCACTGTCGCAGCTGTGATCAGGAAGTTTGGAAAGGAAAAGCCAGGGATTAGATGGTGCTGGCTCAAGCGGAGGGGTCGAGAGAGCATCTGGCACAGAGAGGGAGGCGGGTTTGGCCGCCAACGCGAGGAGATGTGCCATCTTTTGGAAAGCTGATCCACAAAGACTTGGCTAAATCGCATCTTGCTGTTAGTAAACGCTGAATTGTGATGGGAGAAGTGGGTGATGCAACCCGTAGACAAGCCCAAAAGATGTGGGGTTGAATTTGTTGCCGTGGTGCCAGTCAGGGAATTTTTCTCTGTCATAACTTTAAAGGACTCTTTACAAAACAAAAACCTCTCCTGGGCTGAAGAGTCCTTAAAACACCCAGGGGCTGCTGGAATCAAGTACTCAAAGTGTCAGCAAAACCACCCAGCAACCTCTGAACGCAGATAACGCCTCATCCTAACGATCGTGTCTCTAGAAAATAGCCATAAATAAATTCTGCTAGATGTAAGAATGTCAAGGAGGGAAGTCTCCTTCCCAGCAGTCCCCCGAGACTAGATCAGGTCCAGACAAGCATTTTTCTATCAGCCTTCATTAGCTCGACGCATGCTTCCAGCCCAGTTCCCCAGCACAGGGTCTGTTGGCTGCCAGCAACTGCTGTAATTGCTCTTGGGAAGTTCTCTGCTTGGCTGCTCTGACTCGGCTGCAGTTTGGACAAGACAAGGTCTGCAGGGGGTAAATCTCAGGGGAAAAAAACAAAAACAAAAAACTACCTTTCACTGAGTATGAGAAGTCTCCATATCTCATCTCCAAATAAAAACCTAATGGATCTTGGGAGAAGAAAATCCTTGCAATGAGTTCAAAATAAGGGTGAGCTGAGGCTCCAGTACAGCCTCTGGGTTGGAGGAAGGGAGCAGACTATCTGCATCACAATACAAACGTGGTGAAAACATCAATTAAACAGCATCATTTCAAACAAAATTAAAAAAAAATCCTGGCAATTATTGCCTACTACAGAACCCACTTGAATCCTCAGCTGAAAAAAGAGCAGTGGCACACAGCCCACTCTGTTCTGCACGTAAAGAGACAGGGAGTGAAGCTGTGCAGATAAACAAAAGGATGCATCAGACAAGAAACCGGGACGAGACTCCAGGCAATGTCTCCACGTGGACCTGGTCTGCACATACGGGGCGGGGGCGGAGAGAGGATCCGAGCGTGAGGCTTGTCTGGCACACAGGGAAGAAACCAGCAAAATTTAAACAGTGCCCGAGCTTCAGCAGATAAAGTGATCAGGTGGCTTCAGCACGTTGAGTTTTATCTGCAACGACCACAAGCCACAGCTGCAACGTCAACACACACACACAGCAGCCAGGAAATGTGGAGTTATTTTCTAAGAGAGTGAGGAAATAACCCACTACACACAGGTCACATTAACTGTGTGCATCACCTATGTGGTTTCCTAAAAGCAGCCTGCAGCAATCTGCACATGGAGCTGAGCAAACATCAGATACGTCATGTAAGAAATACAGCATCAGTCCTGCTGAGGAAACAGCCTGAAACACCTTTCAGGTGGAGACTGAAAGAAAATGCTTTCAAATTGCTTCAAATCGCGAGATAATTTTGGAAGATAGAACTTAATTGATGAACTTTGTCAGGACCTCAAGGAGAAAAAGCTTGACAAACACTTTTAAAGCAGAATTAGACGCCAAACCAAAACCTGACATGCCCCATCCAATACTGCAGGTTTTTCATCTCCTTTTTCCTAAATCTGAAAATGGATTTTTGCCCTCTACAGCACTTGCACACAGGCACAAAAACTTGACCAGGTGCCTCAGGGAATTGTTGAAATCAACCCCACAGCATCCTGCTAAACGTCTGAAAGCCTTGAAGGAAAGGGCATGTCAAGGTAAGTATTTCAAGCGCTGCTGCTAACGGGAGATAAGAAGATTTCACAGGCATGAGTGGCTTTGTGTGCTCTATCCCCTAACCCTTCCTCTAGCCCTGCCACATTAGAATCAAGTTTTTAACTAATTTTAAGAGGTTGGTTTATGTCCACTTCAAAACACAGACTCTTCCAGCAGAGTTGAGATACCTAGAACTGTGTTTCCAAAGGAGAAATTCCATAAAGACAGAGAGCTTTCTTAAAATCCACTCCAGGTCACACCCAAGTTGTGTGAAAGCCCAGAAGCTGAAACAAAGCATGGCGGCCACCAAACCATGGACATCTGTGGTCCCTACTCACTCCTAGCCCAGCCAGCGGCCTTGTATTTAATCAGTTACATGCCTTGTGGCTCAGTTTCCCTCCTCTGGCTAATGGTACGACACTCACCACCTTTAGGAAGCTCTAAAGATTGAAAGCATGAAAGGGTCACTAACCATGAATAGGACCTCCGTCCCTTCTTCCCGGTGTGATCCTCCCACTGCATTCAACCAATAAAAGCCTCCTAAAAGGAAACAGAGGGAAAACAATTACGTCCAGGGCAACAGTGACCTGAAATCCCGGCTCTCTACCACTCACCCAACACGGCTGAAACACCTTGTATCCTCTGGTACTCTCTACCACTAGTTTGGGGACCTGTGTCTTCATCCCAGACCCCTAAACAAAGCACAGGCAGGACTCCTGGGTCCCTCTCTCACCTCCCAGGTGCTTCACTTCACCAAACGTTTGTGCCTTTTTCTTGGAATCAAAGAAATTCAAGCTGAAAGGAACTGATTTCACCCAGCCCATCCCTGCCCAAGGCAGGTCAGCTCCGCTCACACCACTCTTGAACACAGAGGTGAAGTTCTTAGCTTCTTAGCTTCACAATGCTGCCCTGAGTCATTTCCAAAGGTTTTATGCTTTTCCTTTCCCTTTCCTCCCATTAGGGGAAACCACAGAAGAGTGTGGAAAAGGGCGACTATTTTTACAGTTATTTAAATGAACCCAGTGCAGGCAGACTGCAAAGCACCTGAACTGGAAAACAAAGGTGCTAAATGGACTGGAAATGGCATTCGTCTGCTGTCTGTCTTTATCATTATTCACATTCCTTGACTGAATGAGTGACACCTCCACTGACATACTCAACCTCATGCCAGAAGACTCAGGATCAGATTCCCAAGTCAGCGTCAGAGTGAAGCTGAGACAAGAAACAGAACTGACGGCCGACCCCGGGTCAGCGTCGGAGCGACGGAGGAGCTGGCGGCTGCGTTTCGTTAATCGCTTTGCAATCTCATTTGTATCAAGTCTGACGGCCCAACGTGACCAGGAACCTTCAAAAAGAGATCTTTTTTTTTTTTTCAGCCCTGTCCAGAAAGTAGCTAATTTTTAATTGCAGTCCATTCAGGAGCAGCTTCAAAATATGGGAAAACAGTTCTGGATCTGACGTGCAAGCACCTCTCTTCTACCTAGAGCATTGCTCAGGGTGGGAAAACCAAGATCTCTGCGGTTTGAACCCAGGAAGAACAACTTTCACTCAGCTCTGGTTTGGAAGCATGGCACGTAATGCCTGGCTGGCAATGAGTACAGAAGAGACCTGGGCAAACCTTGATCCATGACCTGATACAGGAGACACTCCTGCATCCTACAATACCACTGCACTCTCCAGAATCTTCTCGAAACAAAAGGCCAATCTATTGAGTTGGTCTTTGGCACAGACAGGAAAAGCTCCCACCTGGAGGAAGGAGGCAGGAGATGCCATTTCTTCAAGCAGCTGCAGGAGAAGGGAAGGACCTCTATCTCTCAAGGTCCAAGAAGCCTTTTTCCTCCTAAAGATGATGCCCAAGATGACTCTATAAGGCTGGTGAAGCCCCATGTTCCTAACAGAACAACTCTGAAACCTGTCTATACCCACAAAGGTAACACCAGCCTGACTGACAGATCTTCTGGGAAGAGGTGAAGCCAGAGCATCAGCACAGGACTCTCTTGCAGACCAGCTTTGGAACTGCAGACCACATCAGCAACATGCAGTGAAACACGAAGCATGAAAACCAGGACGTTCCTCTGAATCTTCCTTTCAGGACCCAGAAAGGGACTGTCCCCACGGAAGGGTTGTCGCTTGCAGAACGAGACAAGAAGCTGCTTGATTTTTAAACAGGCACAACTCAAATAAGTGTTACTCACAACAGTATCCTGCAGGCTTCGCTGTTTATTCCCCCCATGGAGTCATAATAGGTGATGGTTTTCTTCCTGAAGTCTACAACCTACACAGAGAGATTCGTTAATAACATGCAACACAAGGAGCTCATCTCTTTGCCAAGACACACACTCTGCTGATGACAGAAAGAAGTTTAGACCTTTTCCCAGCAGAGAAGGATTTTAGAGAACTTCTAACATCCTCACTACAGCCCTCTTCAAAATCCCCTCCTTGCTGCTGTGTTATTTAACCACCTGAATGTCCAAATCAGGTTAAAACACAAGAGCACTCTGTTATCCTTGTCAAATCTGCAGACAGATGGTTTTATATCGACTTTGCTCCACCTGACATGTGCATAACTAAGCAGATCAAGACACGAGTCCCTCAGGTGCTATTTTTTGGGGGGCCCCCATGTCCCATTTCCACACCACCACCCACCCGTGTGAGCACCACCTTTCCAGGCAGCCTAACAATCCTCCAAGGAGCTTTGAGCTAAGGAGGCTGACGCAGGTTGAAAAGCCACCACATGCGATCTGTTACCGCACAGGTGCCAGGAGCCAAGAGAAGGGACGGAACAAATCAGGGGTAGGAGGCAGAGAAGCTGTGGGTATCTGTCATCTAAATCTCTCGACAACAATCCCGTGGCAATGTCTCTAAAGGTGAGTTTGTGGGAACGTGGAAACGAGATCTTTCTCCGGAGAATACACTAGCCTCACATGACCTTTGCAGCTATTTTTTTCTTTAAAGACTAGAGAAACACATTCAAAAGTCACAGATTGGTTGGTTTTGTTTTACTCGCTCTAGACTTCAATTTTAGCCACCAACACGAATTTTCCCCACAAAGACAAATATCTGACAACTGCATCGCTCAAGAGCTGGGAAATTTTAGCTTTTAAATTCAGAGGACGATTGCTCAAGCTATGCTCTCCTGTGAATAACTGAAGCACTCACTGCTAGGCACCAGTGCACTCCCAGATGAATAGGCACCAAGAGGAGATCCACAGAAAAGATATCCACTTTTTTAGTCCACCGTTTCACGGCCTGGTACCCCGCTGTTTTTAATTTGGTAAAGAAGAAAGTATTGAACGCATGAACTGCCGGCAAACCCTTCTCTTTGCTTCGTTCCATCAGCAAATTCATGTAGAAATTAATTATCTGGGAAAGAAAAAGCATCCAGGATATGTTAAGAGTGTTGACACTTCTGCATAAGGTGCTCTGCCCCTGTGTAAAATGAGGTAGGAAATTGGGTTTGCCTCCACCTGTCTCTGAAGGTGTGTCCCCAAGGTGGATTTACAACAGCTCAACAGCCTTAAAACCTTCAAAAATCCAGAAAGATTTAGGAATGCAGTCTTCCATATTTAAGATTGACTTTTTTTTTTGCCCTGATCATGCCCATGGTCAGTCCCACTCCTCCCAATATTATTATTTCTTCAAGTGCTTCACCTACACATGGGTTTCTTCACAGATTAACTGCTGCAGAGTGTGACGCACAGCCCACGCCTACTATTCACTCTGAATTCTTTCAACAGAAAGGCAGTTTATTCACTTCAACTTACTTTAAATTGCCAAAGAAAAAGGCCTTACCAGCCTAAGACAGACTTCTCACCTCATCATTGAGCCAGTTCAGGTTATTGAGGGTCTGAATGTCTTTCCGAGTGATTGTTAACCGAAAAGCTTCGCTGAGGACCTCATCCTGGTTCCCACCTCGGAATACGTTCTTTATTTCCTTTTCCATTTCCTACAGGGAGGACACACACAGCATTGGAAGGGAGAGTTCCTGATATTCCTGGACTCAAACCCAGCTTTATTCTTTTCTCCTCAAAGGATAAACTTGTTACAAAGTGTACATGGCAGCAGGGATCAGCTATCTGTTTCTCAGGAAATCCCATTCGGATTTAGGTCTTTCACGCACACAAGCACCTGTCTGAGCACACTGGATCCAAGCAGAATTACCTCGGTGATTTCAGGGAACTCCTCTTCGCCGTCAGCTGACTTGGCATCCTCTTTCTCTTCTGGGACCACTGTGACAGGGATTTCCTTCTCCAGGGGTACACGCAGATTTAAATCCACCAGATCCTGCACGGAGTGTTCCTGTTCCTGTAACCGCTGAAGGACAGACCTTTAGGTTAGGTGGTGTGTGAGGAGTCACCTCCCACAGCTATGTGGGACCAATTGTCCCAGGAGATGCAGAAAAGAGCACAGAGGGGGAGCGTCTACCCTGCCCATGACACTACCGAGAGCCACGGGAAGGGGAAGCAACGAAGACACCAGACCCCAAAAGAGTCAATTTTTGTCATTTTTCCATTTCCAATTTGCTTTTTTATTCTGTGGTTTAACATCCAGCCTCGCAAAGACTGTTCCTGCAGCAACCACTCCCTGTTACCTGGCTTTGCAGCTGTAAGGCCAGCGCTTTCTGCTCTTCAATTTGCCGCCATCTCTCCCGAGCTCGTGAATCGTAGACGCTGGTCCTGAAAAACACGGTTTATGTGAACAAATCAGTGTTTTATTTCTACACATGAAGACTCACAACAGGGAAACAAGAGCAGAAAACATGGACTTACAGTTCTTTGATCCACAGTTCTGCCTGGAAGAATGGGAGGCTAGAAAGGGGGAGAAAGGAGAGATGTAAGTGTTCTCCTTCATGTGGAAAGTAAGTAATTGCCTGAAAAGTGATTTCTAAGTATTATCTGAGAACAGCCCTACTGCCAGAGTGATAGCAAGAGTTACAGACAGATGTGCCAGCGATTTGCAGCCAGGTCTCAAGAAAAAAAGAGGTTTGATGCATCACACTCCAAGTTCCTGTAACTACAACAAACTGCTCTCTTCACAAGACATTCAGAAAACCACCCGTCACCTTCTACGCTGCATTCCCACCTCTCTGTGGAATTAAAAAAGCTCCTGTAACCCGCTCCCTTCCTCCAGATACCATCTCACAGCCTCTTACCTTGGTGCTGGGGTTCTGGAATCCTTTACCTTGAGCAAAATGACAGAGTCTGACCCTAAAAAGAGTAAAATTTACAGAATATTGTTATCCCCACAATTACTGCTCAGTTCCACGACCGCTGCAGGGATCCAGATACAGAGGGGGAGGAAAAAAGCGGGTTTGCCACTTTTATACCAACCATATGAATTTTAACAAGGGCAGGTGCCACATTTTGCACCTGGGACATGGCAACCCTGGAGATACATCCAGACTGGGGAACGAGAGGCTGGA